AGCACTAACGGGCCGAGTAATGCACTAAGCCATATTGGCTTAGTTTGAGTTGCCTCACATTACGGAAGCGGACTCGGCTTCTAGGTGTTATTATTCTAAGGTACTGAAATAAAATGCGGAACGAATAAAGTTAGGTACTAATACCGACTAAGCATGATTATTATTAAAAAAGATTCAGAGAAACTTATTTCGTGAAGTAACAATATGCGTTAGCTTGATTTGTCTTCACGATCTATATGTAAGTCTAGCGCCAAACGAAACGTAGAGGGGACGCGCACGAATTGAATTGCACGAATGCGACTACAAAGACAATCAGCGCGTGCGAACGATACGCACGAGCCAATTAGCGCGACTTATGCGCAAGAAGCTAATCAGCGCGACCGTCACCGCTAGACTTTTGTGCCGCTACTTATACTTAAGTTTCTGTCACATTTCCAATTATCCAACGATAATACTCAAATTTCCAACACTCTCAAACTTCAAATATGTCTAATACAGTGGATTTGTACTTCTCTTACACAAAAAGCAGGTAAATAAAATGGAATTGTTTCTATTTCTTGATCAATAATTACGTATTTTCTATTCGGTAAACATTTGCTAAAATTTATTTTATTTATAAATAATTACATTTAAGTATTTGGAACAGGAACATTTATAAATATTTTATCCAACATCGTAAAAACTACAATACTCGTCAATATTAATGATAATTACATAGATAACATGTACTAAGTCCGTATTTAACATAAATCAATTAAAATACGTTAGTACTTATGTTAATTATACTTCAATGCTTGTCAAAGTGTATTCTTTAATCAACACCAATTATTAATTTACGTAACAATCAGACTAATTAGTAATAAATATGTACTTAAAATATCTTTTAATTTTTTTATAGGGTAAAGATGACAAACGAGCACACAGTCCACCTGATGGTAAGTGGTTGCTGTGACCCATAGACATCTACATCTATCCTCAAAAAAAAATCTAAATTCAGATGCGCTGTCACCCGTGAGGACTAAGATGGAAAGTCTCTTTTCCAGTAAAAAGGGTCTCCGGTTCTCTACACTCACCATACGAAACACAGCACATATACTTCTAATATAGCTGCAGCATGCCTATACCACGTATAAATTATATGTATAATATTTACGTACAAAGAACATCAAACCCATCATATAAAATTATGACTATCTACTTATAACGAAGTTTAACTTTAAATATTGTAGGTACCAAAAACTAGTAATAAAAGAATCAGTAATTATTAATGGATTTCCGGTTCTTTCGGTACTTTCGGGATAACATCTTTCGATTTCATTAAAACTTGTTTGTAAATACTCGCGAAAGTCACGTAGTTGCTATCTATAAGTTGGAGTTCAGGTCAAAAATTACCGAAATATTGTCAATAAGATTTAAAATATACTTTTGATAAAATAGCAATTCAAAGGAAAAAGCATCAGACAAAAGAAATGGCATGGACTATTCAATGAAGGTGATACATTTTCTGCGTTCTCTGGATTTCAGTCTTTTTGAATTTTTACTTGAAAGTCTGGGGCTGATCAGAGTTTATGGATTCTTGTCAACGGAAAAATTTGTCGAAGAAATAAGAAGCAAATTAAATGAATTCGGCGATCATTGAAAGGTTATGTCATCATTGAGAAAACGGATAGATGCAGTATTATGACCAAATTCGAAGTTTCAAGAAGCTTTAAGAAGAAGGCTTTCAACCAGGCCACCAAGTCCTACAAAAAGGTTAGAGCAAGACAACTTCGAATGCATCAAACATAACTCCGCAAAGCTTTTTGGTCTCTCGCCAAAGCGGTCAAGACGAACTTCTGTCAGCCTACAATGCCTCCGCCGGTAAAACCGGATGGTACATTAGTGCATACGACTATAATAAAAAGAGTATTCGTTCGCGTCTCTTTTTGCCCGTAACGCACGTCTAGACAACAACGTATCACCTAGTTACCTCACTGCGTGACTTTTTTTTTTGGGAATCTAGACTTAAACAAAGGTAGTGTATCTTCAAGGCAAGAGTTGAATATATTTATATAATATTTGTTAAGTCAAAGCACTTTACCGTCTTCCATAGTAATTATAGTAGGTAGAATAGTCAAGCGTTAGCTTAAAATAAAAAAAAATACAGTCGGCCCTGCAGGCTTATCCTGAAACTTCCCGATATATTCCATCTCATAACGCTCGACAAATATTTTTACAAACTAATAGTTAACTCATTACATCAAAGACCATCAGATTAGAAATTTCGAAGTAATTAAAAAAAAGAGACCCTTTTTTTGAAATTTTTGACAACGATAATTTTCGGACGGAACAACCGATTTTGATGTAATTGGTGGCAATCGACGAGATATTTTAAGAACAATAATAAAATCTATGATAAAAAAACGACTGACTATAATTTCAAAATTTACGTGAAATAAACATTTCTTCGAAATATTTCGTCATCGATTTCTCTTCAACGCATTAACCGGTTTGCAGCAATCGACGTCGTTTTCCATGTTTAAGAGCTGATTAGATTGGAATTTTGGAACTGATCGTTACATCTGTTTAAAAGTTATTCCAATAAAACATTTTTAGACAATTTTATTTTTGTGATTTCTCAAAATCTACCGGTTCAAATCGGTTGAAACAGTATTGAAAATCTAAGTTTAGTGAAACCCTTACGAACGCCATCAAGTTCGTTGAAATCGGTCAACTTGTTCATAAGTTATGAGAGGTTTACACACACACTGACATAGTTACACCCACGTAGGAATATTAAGAATAGCTTCCTAGGACTTCAAAATGTTGAGATCTGACGAAACCTCGATTTAAGAAAATTGGAGTGAAACCAATAACTTCCCGATTTTTTTTTGAAAATGATTTTATTTTTCATAACGTTAAGTTAAAAAATACGAGCATGGTTCTTAAGGCTTGTACACCTCAGTTTTCGCCTGTGTTGACACATTTGTTCCGCCTCTCATAATGTCCATATCCTGGAAGCGGGCCAATTTGCAGCCTGAGCCTGAGTACGGTCTCTAAATCGTTATAGATGGTCTCGGAAGTGCAGCTTCCGGGAGACTAATTCCGCAGGACTCTCTTCTTGCTTATCAATGACAGCACAATTATGGAGAGATATTAACCGAGTGCTCGCGTCAGTCGGGATCAAATCCAGTCCGAAAGGGAAGCTCTTTAGTATCAAACCTAAGAAGGCTGATTGAATTGTAACTTCTAGGACTACTTAGAATTTATTCTCATTAAATAAAAAACAAATATTCATCGTTTTTAAATTTGAAAACAATTACCAATTACTAGTCGAGTACTACCTTGCTTACAATTACACTATTATATTATCCAAACTAGCTAGCACTGAAAGTACGGAAAGAAACGAGAAATCCCGGTTCCGTTAAAGACAAGTACCGAAATTTTTGCTTCGTATAACGAGTTCCAGATCTGGAATAAGTAGGTAAGTTTCAAAAAATGTATGTCTATCCAAAACATTGAAGGACATTATTTATGATTTTGTATGTCCAAGTACATATAATAATGGTTTCGCTGGACTCACTAACTGCTTTTACATTTTGTACATAATATACTTACTATTGATTAAAATTATAACGAATATTGCAGTACATTTTTTTTATTTTGGATATAATAGTGATAAATGTGTGTCGTTACAGAACGTGTAATTTGTATTTTCAAGAAAATTCTGGAATTTATTTGAATTTAAAATACAGTCAAACTTTCATATGAATATTCCGTAACGTTACACATTTTTTCCAATATTTTTTGTCCGTTTCTTGAATTCAAGAAACATTTGTTTTACCTTACGTTTTGTTTTATTAAAAATTAAGTGCTTGTTATTTGTACTTGTAATTACGTGCGCTTACTATTACCTCATATTAAAAAATATTTATATTTTTGGGTTTACTCCTTATTCGGCCTTTTCAGACATTTGTTCCATTTTTTTACAATGTAGATCTCAAAATGTAGAAATCAAAATCCGATAAGCATTATAGTCAAAAGTTAAATTCTATCTGCCTCCGTGTCGATCAATGCTAAAGCGAGTATGTGTTTGTGTGTGCGGACCGAGTGGCAAATTTACTGGCCCAGCCGAATGTGTTTTTTTGTCTTCATCAACTTCATCAACCTTTATGAGCCCACTGCTGGACATGGGTCTCTCCCGCTGTAAGGAGCATGTGCTGTAAATGCCACGGCTAGTTTAGCAATCGCAGTACCGGACTACTCGCGCAAAAGCCAAAGAGAACCGCTCCCTCCAAAGTTTTTAGGATTTTGCCTCTGGCATATAGAGGATGGTTATATTATACCGTATAGCCGCAACATCTTTCTAACATTCCAATAGTCGTCTTTTATAACTTCTACGTTACGAAATCTGGTAATAGATTAAATTACCCCATCACTCAGTAATATGTGTATATTACCGAATGATGGCAGATCAGATGATTATCATCTAAAATGTTATGTTTCCCGCCAAAAGCCTGTCTTCCACATTCATTTATAACAGCCTATCAAGGACCCGCTTCTGAACCTATAGATTTCCACGGCAATCAGAAATTCACCTTACAAAAAAAAACGTCACTACCCCACGCGGTTTTACCACTGTTGTTAGACGATTAATTCACACAGTTAATCTTTTATAGTGAATGAGCGTCTTGTCCGATGCAAGGTTGTCTGAATTTGTTTCAGTCATTTCATCGTCCATACCATGTATTTATAAAAATACCAAAAATCATAAAAAAATATTACCAAATATAATAAATCATAAACATTATAATCATTTATGTAAAAGTAATAAACCGTGTCTATGGACAAATAGAATAGAGGAAAATCAATCGCTCAATCTGGATCTATTCACTTTCGCTGCCGCTGTAAGTCATCGGAGCAACATTATTTTCACAATAAATAAAAGATTTAGTCAGTTCTTTCCGCATTCATGATCCATTGAATGTGAATGGTAAATACTAAAAATGAACTGTGTAACGTTAATCCGAGGAGTAGAGACAGCAGTGGTGCGCGCCGGTGCACTCGACGCTGGGCCTGTGCGTGGAGTCCCAGATGCCGGGCCCGCAGCGCTGGCACATGGCGGCCAGCGTGCACGGCACGCGCACCAGCTGCCGGAACTGGTACAGAAGCCCGCGCGCCTTGCGCAGGATCAGGCGCCCGTCCATGTACATCGCTGCGGACAAGGAGTACAAGCGATATGAGTACGTGTTACAAGCATAATGAGCATAGTAATAATATATTACAAGTAAGATAAAATAAGTTTTACGTGGTAAAACTCGCCTTTTATAGACAATGAATCTGTAGATGTCGAGTCAATGACGACCTGGTAAGACATGCAGGAAGTTGATGGATGCAGGTGCTTCGTGGCATTCCTTGAGGGAGGCCTATGTTCAGAAGTGGACTTGCGAAGGGCTGTATGATGATGATGAATCTGTAGTAGTATTCGGAGACAATCTCGAGGTTAAACTCAAACTCTACAATACTTTAAATAAGTCCAGATCTTATGACCAAATTATCAGCCTTTGAGACCATAGTGACAACGTAGTGGTTAATGGTTATACTTATACATACTCTTTGGTTTCCGCCAAAGTGTAGGTATAACCAAAGAGAATATAACCACTACGGGTATAACACTGTATAACATATTAACTAGGTATTACTTTTATGTTCTCGTCAAAACACCGCAGAGGTTTCTAAGTCGATTATTTCATAATCGCTTAATCTAAAGAGATCATATACAAATTAAATAACAATAAATTTTGCAACATATTGGAATACGATATACATAATACACATTATTTTAATAAATTTAATCGTCAAAAATATATCCCACAATAAACACCCTCTTGGTTAAAAACAGTAATTCATTTAGTTTAGGATATACCTTGAATGTTTTTTTTTTCACCTAAAGTCCATTACTCTAAATTCTAAAAGCAGTTAGGTTCTCGTTCTCGGCCACAAATTAATAGGAATTATAAGAAATTTCTACGGTATTTTTTTATATATACCTATAGACTGTAGATATGGCGTAAAGGATTTACCTAAGGAACTAAAATGCAGGAGCATTTCGTCGGTGTTAAGGTCCTGCGCGATAACGTCATCGGCGTACACTGCGATGATGGCGAGACAAAGAAACAAGTGGAAATAATCCGTCTGGTAGTTGGCCCAGCACGCCTCCCACATGCGCAGCGCCACCGCCTCCGTGAACTCGCGTTTGAAGCACCTGAAGCATTGGCGCAAAAGTTTGTACATATTGTGAGGAACATTTGGCGTTTGAAAAATATTTTGTTAATTATTAGAATCACGCGTTACTTTGCGGAAATCCATAATAATGGGGTTGCTATAAACTAACTTGCTTAATTCCGCGTAAAGAAAGAAAATGATCTGTTCTGCCCTGTTTTAAGGGGACCTCCCAACCACCCTCAATCGCGCGCACTATACCCGTCGTCGTCAATCCCAGCACTACCACCCACAGCACCACCACACTAGGCACGACACACCACTCTCGAAAATACGACACGTGTTTCGCCTCTACACGAGGCATCCTCAGGTGAAGTAGACTCTGCGGAGGCTGGGCACGTGTTACATCACCTACTTAAAACTACACCTACGAATTCAATAAGTACCAGCGCTCGCAGAAAATTTCATGGTACTTGAAAAAACCAAGTATGAATACTTGGTACGTTTAGTTTGCTCAAGAACTATGAAATTTTACGGCGAGCGCTTATATACGCCAAGCTACAACGGCTTTTATATTTATTGTAGAAGAACAACATTTCAAGCCTATCTAAAATTATCTAGACTATGGACTATTATAATAAGATTTATCAAATCCTAGAAGAATATATTACGATTGCTATAAAATTTGAAATTAAATAAAAAAGAAGGGAAAACGTCTGCAGCCTTTGAAGCAATTTCTATTGTAGCGTTTCTTTGTGTAAGCGTCTTCACTCTTCATGTAAATCACAATCACTCAAATAACAATTGCTGGCCTCCGATATAGAAATACGGTATTGTTAAAATTTCTTTGACTTACAATAATATCCAACGGTGACAGAACAGCAACTCCATAGCGTCGACGTGCTTTTCCAGGTGCTTGTAGAAATGTGGCAACATTATTCTAATAAGCTCGCGTAAATAACTCTGTAATTTACAGAATTAATCTTTTTACTCAATTATATTAAATTCATATTTTATTATAAGTAACATACACATATTATATTGCATAAATATGAAAAGCGACAACAAATAGGAGAATCAAAGGATAGAGACTGCATTTGTTCATCTTCAGTTTGCCTGCTCAGCCTGAATGCTACAAATCCTACAACGGAAGAGACTCATGTCCAGCAGTGCACTTTTACTTTATTACTGGCTGATGAAAAAAAAGTTGTTGTGTTCCATCTCCTTATTATTAACCATTTACAATATACCTACTGTTGACTATTTTTTGTTACTGTTGTTTCCTTTATCTCTTCCAACGTTTCTCATCTCTCAACATTTTGTGGCATATATGATGAGGATGACGACTCAAATCCTTGACATTAAATAAAATACATAAATGTGTATAGATTAGACATTTAACTTTTTCATTAGATATAAATTTTAAAATGATAAATAGTCTGAAGTTAATAATGAGGTGATGACGGCACGTAAGTAACCAGAATTAATTAAGAAACACTTGGAGCAGGATTCGAATCCGCGGGTCGCAGCGCCCAAGTCAAACGCTTAGCCGCCGCGCTAACAAGCATCATGCTCTATACGAATGCAACAAATAAAGAAATAATACCTCAGTAAAAAATAGTCCATGCCTTTTAATATATAATTTAAATAATGTTAAAACAAATACTTACTAGATTGTTATCCATGTCATTATCAGTGGGTGTGCAGACGAAAATTGCGCGCTGCATGAGCCCCACGAAGCACCAGAATGCTTCCGCCTCACATTTGATTTCACACAACACGGGCGCTAGGAGGTCGCTCATGCCTTGTGTGTAGCTAATAAAACAAATACCAGAGGTTTCATTAGCTGCTTTGCGTTGTGCGTTCGGACCATGATCTTAATATACAATCTGAACAATGTTCCTAGAAAAAACAAAGATTCCTCAAAATTGCGTCTCAATCTCTTAATTAGCAAAGATATGGTATAACACACATACAAAAAAAACATGTGTGCCTTCAAATGAAATGAAATTTAAATAAAAATATTTCACGGCAAATTATTTATTTAATATGATCATTTTAAACCACAAGTACCGTTTAAAATATAAGATAAAAGTTTGATTTTATAGGAAATACAATCCTTATATTTTTAGTGTAAATAATAAAAAGAATATTTTCTTTCTATTAAAATTGTTTTGTAATAGCGCCATCTACTTCATTCTATAAGTAAAATATTTTTATCGAACAAAATTAGATTGATTCTCAAGGTGGTACGTTCAATAGACGCTAGATGACAATGGCATGAATTTATGAAATCGTGGATTGGTATATTAAGATAATTTTATTCAATTTTTAGGTTAATTTAATTTATTTAATAAATTTGAATACATTTTTTTATTTTTTAACATAATTAATAGAATCAGGTGTTACTTTGCGGAAGTCCATTATATTAAAGTTTGTAAAAAAAAACGGTGGCTGACCGCTAAGTGACTTAGCGGTCATCCACCGCAGAGTGTAGATTATCTGAAGATGCCTCGTGTAGAGGCGAAACACGTGTCATATTGTCGTCAGTGGTGTATCTTTTCTAGTGTAGTGGTGTTATGAGTAGTGGTGCTGGGTTAGTGGTGACGGTGATAGTGCACGCAATTGAGGGAGGGAGGAAACTTTAACATTTTTTAACAGTTATAATTTATATTAACCATCTTTAAAACACCGCACAAAGAGGAAACCGAAATAATAAGAAACACTGTTTTAAAAAAAATACTAGCAATGCTATTCACATTACTAAAATTCCCCTTAACCACTATTGGTAAGAAAAAAAAAGACGGATCCTCAACCTTTTGAGTTCGCGGTCCGCATCTTGCCATTAGATTATAATGTACCTTACTACATCGTATTCTATCTCATTCGCTCGCTGGCTAAATCCTATACATGATTTCGTTTATCTCTTTTTAGTGTCGCTTTTTGGTTTCATCTAGTTTCAAATCACACGATGCTAAAGAAGTTTTCACTACAATAAAGAAACACTATGGGATTGTAAACCTCCTTCTTTTTTGAAGTCGATATAGATATAGGTGGTACGATATAGGCTCGGTCTCCACAATCACCAACCCAATATCGCATTAATCGTTTTTTACAACATGCTAGGCATAACGGAAATATCAATAATGACTTTAGGTATGTAGTGTCTATGGTAGTATAATATTTAGCATAATACATAATATGCTTTATCAGTAACATACATACTAATTTAAAAGTAATGTTAATATATTACCATTCGCTGAAAATACATACTTATCACGGTAACATACTTATCAGTTTTTTATAATAAAAACGTATACATAATGATTTCGTATATTTACGCGAACACTACACATTGAATAAAATTAGTTTTAAATAAAATAAAATAAAATTGTCGCTAATTAAATAATCAAATAATCATTCTATTTAAAGGTATACGTTTTTGAATAAAACTATTTTTACGCATTTTATCGCGTTTAATTAACTTATTTTAATTCCCGACGTCAATCACCTTAGTCCCCCCCGTGATCATGGGTGCTGTAAAGCCCCCGAAACGTCGGGAATTAAAATAAGTAAATTAAACATGACAAAATCCGTAAAAAAAAGTTTTATTCAAAAACGTATACCTTTAAATTGCATGATTATTTGATTATTTAATTAGCGACAATAATTTTTTTTAATTTAAAACTAGCGATCCGCCCGGTTGCCCTACCGGCACACAAACGCACACACAAAAATTCATTAAAATCGTTCGAGCCGTTTTCGCGTTTTAGCGAGACTAACGGACAGCAATTCATCATCATCATCATTAGAGCCCTTCACAAGTCCACTGCTGAGCATAGGCCTCCTCCAAGTTATGTCACAAAGCACGGCCCTGAGCCACATGCATCCATCAACTTCCTGCATGTCTTACCAAGTCGTCACTCCATCTAGTGGGAGTCGCATTACACTTTGCCTACCGGTACGAGGTCGCCACTCGAGAACCTTTTTTCCCCATCGGCTGTCGGTTCTTCGAGCTATATGGCCGGCCCATTGCCACTTCAGCTTACTAATCCGTTGGGCCATGTCGGTCACTCTGGTTCTATTGCGGATATCCTCATTTCTGAGTTTATCACGCGGAGAAACTCTGAGCATAGCCCTCTCCATAGCTCGCTGTGCGACCTTGACCTTCCCTCCCAGGTAAACATACTCATCAACAACTTCGAGCTTAGTGCTCCCAACAACTACCGGCATATATGTGACATGGACATTAAACATGATCTTTGTTTTGTCCATGTTCATCTTAAGACCTATCCGTTGAGAGACACTGTTGAGGTAATTGAGCATAGTGCCTATGTCCTCCAGCGATTCTGCCATAAGGACTATATCGTCGGCAAATTGAAGATTAGTGATGTACTCGCCATTGATGTTAATTCGTATCCTTTCCAGTCCAGTAGTTTAAAACGTCTTCCAGTGCAGCGGTGAAGAGTTTCGGGGATAAAACATCACCCTGTCTTACACCTCTCTGCAGTTGGATAAGTTTCGTACTCTGATTTTGTACTCGAATAGCCATCGTAGTCCTATTGTACAAATACTTCAGCACTTCGATATACCGACAATCAACTTGGCACCGCTGAAGGGACTGTAGCACCGCCCAAATTTCGACGGAATCAAAGGCTTTCTCATAGTCCACATATGCAAGGCAAAGTGGCAGGCTGTACTTTTCTGTCTTCTGTACAATTTGCTGAATGGTGTGTATGTGGTCTATGGTACTAAAGCCTCTTCGAAAACCGGCTTGTTCCAGAGGCTGGAAGTCATCAATTCTGTGTGCGAGACCCTTTAAAAAACAGCACGTAGACGCGGCTCAAAAGGAAAATCGGTCTATAGTTCTTCAAGAAAGCGTTGTCGCCTTTCTTGAAGAACAAGACCACCGCACTTCTGCTCCACGCCTCCGGAATAGTCCCACCATGGAGGACGGAATTAAAGAGCTTTTGAAGGACTTCAAGTACCGGTTTTCTACCCACTTCCAGAAGCTCCGCTATAATTCCATCCTCACCTAGGGACTTTGCGTTTTTAAGGTGCTGGAGAGCCATTCTAATCTCGTTCAGACCGACGTCCGGGATATCATCGGAATAGTGTCGGGTAAGACTTGTTCTTGGATCGTTACTCACACTTGCGTGTTACTCCAACAGTCACGTGTACAGCTGCCCATAGAACCTCTCAATATCACTCAAAATGTCAGATGTCCCGGAAACGATGCTGCCACACTCGGCCTTCAGCTTTGACAGTTGCCTTTTTCTGGCAGACAGATCTATGGCAAAGACTTTGGAGCCTTGGTTACTCTCGATTGCTTCTTCAATACAAGCTGTATAGAAGTTGCGTAAGTCCCACCGCATGCATTTGGAGATCTGTCTATTCAATTGCCTATATGCTGTCAAATCTGTTGAAGATTGCACCTTCATTTCCCGTCTAACAGACATGAGATTAAGAGTGTGATCGGAGAGTTTTTGTGTTCTTCTGCGCATGGACAGTTTCCACGAGTTTATCATTCATATCGTTCACTGCATTGCAGTCTTCTAGGCACTGAAAACGATTTTGTAACTCGAGCTGAAAGGTTTCGGGACTTTGGATTAGAGTACGAGGGGGACGAAGCGTTGACTTCATTAGATGAGACCTCTCCAACTTAACGTTTAGGTTCAGTGTGCCTCTAACCATTCAGTGATCGCTAACAGTTTTCACCCTCGCGATCACTGAGACATCACTAAACAGTTGAATGAAGAAACGAAGACAGATGAAGTCAATCTCATTTTTTGTCGAACCGTCGGTGCTCGACCAGGTCAACTTCCTGTGGCCGCTTCTGGAAGAAAGAGGTCATCATAAAAACTCTCTTTCTCCTTGAAGTCGGCCAGCTGCTGACCCCTTGGGTTTCGGTGTCCTATTCCAAATTTCCCTACCTTCAGCTCACCGTTCTCTCTTGTGCCTAGATTTGCATTGAAGTCTCCCATTAACACCGTATAGTGGGTTTTGGAGGAATGCATGACTTTAGAGATATCTTCATACATTTCCTCCAACTCCTCGTCGTGAAGTGCTGAGGTTGGTGCGTAAACCTGTATGACCTTCAACGAATACCATTCGGCGATTCTGAGTATAAGGTACGCAACCCCCGTTGACACACTCCCAATCTTTACTACGTTGTTAACAAGAGACTTGTGGGCGATAAATCCGACACTTCCTTAGGACAGATGGTCACCCTCCCGGTGATAAAACAAGTTGCCGCATACGAGGATTACCGTGTCCTCCCCTCTCTTCGGACCTCGGATAATTCTATAATATGCCAGCGTAACTTGTCTATCTCTTCTTCCAGCTCCAGGATCTTCTCGTCAGTCCTCAGCCTGCGTGCGTTGTATGTTGCCAGGTCGAGTCGTCTTAGGTGGAAACCGAACCTTCACTGGAGATCCTTAGCACCCCCTGCCCCGCCGTTACCATGGTCGCCACCGTAGCCAGGAATAGCGGGGCCGCTGGGGACTCGGGGCCGTCCCTCTCTCTTCGTAACTTTCATCATGGGGGTATATTTGCCATAATTGCCACGCTTGGCGAGCGCATTGGCAACCGCAGTTTTTTTATTGTAACACTGCTGTTATCAGGAAGATGCTGCTGCCCATCTCCTGCCTGTTTCCCACTGTCGGCACTTACGACACCCACGGGAAGATATGGGGTAGTCGATATTCATAACCGCCACTACACGGCTAGCAATTGATTTTTACATATTACAGAAATACCTATAATGTAAATGAAAACATGTAGAATAGAAAATCGAAGCACTTTTGTTTTAACCTACTTTAACTTCTTCTTCATCATCATCAGCCCGTAAAAGGTGACCTTTCCGGGAAGTAGGGAGTATTTGACTTATTTGTCACACGTGGCAGATGGATCGGATGGATGGATGAACCACACGTCTCACCATCTAGTGAGGGGCGCCCAAGCTCAACACTGCACTTACAAATACGAGGCTGTTACTCGAGCTTGAGAGCCTTTCTTCCCCATCGGTTCTTCGAGATATATTTCCGGCCCTTATAGATTTATCGTGAACTAATAGGTAATAAACAAAATTTATTTTAAAACAAAAATAATATGTTATCGATGTTTAGATGTGGTACATTTGTACTTAGAATGATAATCTTAATCAGCCGTTGGAAATTAATCACAATGTTTTCGGGTTACTCACCCCAGCACCGGATTGTAAACGGCGTAATTCAACAAAATATTCTTCATTATTTCTATGTTATAATTGTTTTCTCCGGCAAAGAATGGATTCCCTCTGTCAGTTCTAACTACGTCTTTTTCTATAACACATTGTATTGATTTCCTGAACACTGCATGCTGTTCTGGCGTCATCTTCTCCAACCTTCTTCTCGTTATTTCCTCATATTCCCTTGTTCGTATCTGAAGGATTATTTCTCTCTCGTCGTATGTGGAATTGTATGGATAGCAATGGAGAAGAAAAGGCCACACTTCTCGCCGCAACTCCTTGTCTAAGCCTCCAAAGAATACGCATTTCCTCAGAAACAGGTCGTCTTCTATTACACCTTTTCCGTTCATTATCTTTCCGTAGAATAATTCTGGAGTTATTTTAGGTAACTTTCCTTCTTCTGGGTGTTGTTCGGATTTTTGTACTTCTGGGCGGCATACCATGAAATGGCGGTAAGGTAAATTAGGCTCTTCAGATCCTGAAAGAATAATTACATTTATATGGACTTTCTTTTTTAATTTCACTTCGTAAAATGTCTAGTGATAAATTCCCTTTGTATGTAAATTATTGATATTTGTTTTCGTAGAACATTTCTTGCCTCTTTATTAAAGTTGGAATAGAAGTATGTTATACGTACAACAGTTTCAATTAAATAATTAAAGTACCTACACATGAAATGTATACAAAGTTCATTCATTCATTACAGCCTATCAAAAGTCCACTGTTGTACACATAGGCATCCTCCATAGATTACCTCATGGGGGACTTTTTGCCATAAATAGTTGCCACGTTTGGCAGGCGAGTTATAATAAAGATGCTGCTGCCCATCTCCTGTTTTATAATTACTGTCGCCTTTTACTACACTTACTGGATGATATGTGGTTATGCATATAAATCAATCTATGTTTAATAGGATCAGTAAATTGCAGCGGAGAAATGGTGTCATGTCCGTAAATTATAAAAAAAAAACAATGCTTATTAGTTAAAATATTAACGAGTGCAATACACAATAATTTTGGTAATCATTAAAAAAAAATGTTTATCGTTAGTTAATGTTATGAAATAATGAAGTAATTTGCCGTATGAGCTGAATTAACACGTATAACGTAAATAATAATTTGAAAATATTTGTTTTCTACATAGCTCAGGCGCGTAAATACTAGAATGCCAACAACCAGGATTCGTTCCCGCCGGAACCAATGAAATTATTAATTGCAGTTTTAAGTGTTGATATACCACGTGCTTGGCGGTGAAGGAAAATATCGCAATGAAACCCGCATGTCTGAGAAATTAAAAAAATTCGACGACAAGAGAAATCCGCCATAACGCATTGGGGCAGCGCGGTGGACATTTTGCGCTAAAACTCTCTCAACAATGAGAGGAGCTATATACGTCAAACTCCTACACCTGCGGGAGTTTGACATAATATATAAGTTACAACTTTATTTTTTACTTTACAGCTGAACATGTAGGTACATGACGGCAGCTGTTAGGGCATCTTTTTTATAGAATAAGGGTTGACAAACAAGCACACAGTTCACCTGATGGCAAGTGGATGCTGTGGTCCATAGACATCTACATCTATCCTCGACTAAGAATCAAAATGCAAATGCGTTGTCGACTCTGAGGACTAACATGCAATGCCTCGTATCCAGTAATAAGGGTCTCCGGTTCTCTACACTCACCACACGAATCACAGCAGTATTAAACTGCCATTTTACGTTGGTATTCGGTGAGAGCGTGGTCTCGCAAATATGTCGTAAACTGCAGCATCTGATTCAGTTCAATCTAGCTAAATAATACATTATCTAGCTAAATAATACAAACACTAAAAAATACATAGGTACGAGTATAAACTGTACCAGCGATGTATAGGTACTGTACCTAAAATGAAATATTAAATGGTGATTCAGCGTCGTCAACTTATGATAATTTAGTAATTAAATAAAAAAATATAATCTTAATTACGTTTGTACGTAACTAGGATAATATATTTTATACCTGGTGTTAATTTAATGTTATGCAACAGAGAATGCCACCGATGCAACACTTGCGCCAGGTGGTCGAGGCCGCCGTGGTGAAAATGCAGGATCTTATACTGCGATTCCCGCGATGCCACCACCAGCTGTCCACAAGTGCAGCTGTCGTCGTTGAAGAACAACCGTAATGACCGCATCTGGCTCAGGTCCACCGAGAACCTGTTGTTTTATACTTTCTTATTGATATATTATTAACAAGAAATTTGCGGTGTGGTGCAGGAGAATTATTTATTTATTTACTTATACTTTTTTTGCATAAAACACCTAACAAAGAACAGATTTTGCCTTTTGACTTTCTCTATCAGTCAACCCGGTTATCTAATATCGCCCTACTTGTGTAAGAGCCGACGGGAGATGATGATAGATGTATAGGTGTCTACGGGCCATAGCAATCACTCACCATCATAATAATTATAATTTACAAACCAGACAAGGCACTAAAATGTAGTTAGTTTTCTGTCTTTTTATTTATTTTTAGTAGCGACGTCAAAAATCAATATTAATGAATTTAAAGGTGAAATATTATATATCGTAAAAGCAATAAAAGTTTACTTATATCCTATAATATACGTCCCACCGCTGGGCATAGGCCTGCTCTCATTGCAACATAAACTATATAATTTAATTAGTTTATTTTTATGATCTAGTTACCCAACTAACATTATGATATTAAGTTTGACCGAAAGTTCTTTTAGTAAAATGTTTAATTTGGTTTTGCCCCTAACATTCAACGAACGTAGCACTAATGATTTGTACCCCGTAATTAAATTCCGAAGCTCCTGGAATTCGAGGATAATGGAAACGCGTAACGCGTACGACCTTTTTGAATATTTATATATGCAGTGAGCCGTGCCAATGTCAAACGAATTGCGATAACTGCCTACTCGTAACAGGGTTTTCAAATTAGTAGTAGTGGAAGAATTAAGTAATCTTTTGCGTTTCATGATAACGTTCCTAATTGACGACTCGTGGCGTAGTGGCTTAGCAATGAGTTGCTGCGCTGGGTGCCGCGGGTTCGAATCTCGCACGGAACAAGTATTTGTATGGCCTACAAATAATTGTTCCGGGTCTGGATGTTTGTCCTCGTGAAATTTGTGTTTGTAAACTGCCTCCACGATACAGGAGAAAATCCTAGTGTGAGGGTAACGTTTTTAAAGAAAAATAAATTATAATAGCATTTAAATAAACCATTCAAAAAATTCTTATCGTAGAACTTTTTTACATTTCTATTAAGTAGGTACTCACTTGAATTCTCTCTTCATTATATTTATTGATAGCAAAACCACAGATTAAATAATATTACCAAGACACCATCGCTATTCATGAGAAGGGTTTGAAGGGTTTGTAAACAAAATTTTACTAACCATTCCCCAGTTAGACCATTACAATTATTATCATTAGCCTAACAATAATCTCTTCATCAGTCTGTAAATAATTCCACTCGCCAAGCTTGGCGCTTGTATGATATGCAATGTGCCAAACGTGTTGTTTTAATTATTGTTATGATTGTTTTTTTATCGCTACCTAATACTATAACAGTGTTCCCGATTTTCTTTAAAATAATTTTAATATTAAAAATATATAAGCAAAACCCCTACTATGCATCGGGGGTTAAAACTTAAAACCCGATACAAAGTAGGGGTGTTATTGTTATAAGTTTGACCGCTATGTGTGTGCCTGTGTCTGCCTGTGGAACTGTAACTCTTGAACGGGTGAACCGATTTGGCTTTTTTTTATTTAAAAGCAAGTTTTTTAAGACATGTTTTATCCAAATCGATTCAGCCGTTTCAAGGTCATCTGCTGTTTTTTCCGGAGATTTTTAAAATGTTATATTTAAGTTATTCTTGAAAATTTACGACACGATATCTTCGTCAATTGTGATCCGATTTTAATGATTCTCTTTTTATTAAATAGGTTATACATCAGGAGGATCTCTTATAAATTTGAAGAAAAAATATACTCTTAGGAACGTCAAAATCTACACCGGTTTATAAAAACAGAGGAGCCTGCAAGAAACTGGGGCCGTTTTTTAAAGCCGTTTTACAATAACATTTACAATTACAACGTATACCTAATAAAATAATATAATACCTAAGGTCAGTTTTAACAAATTAACAAAATAACTTATAGTAGCCAAGCTAGTAGCACGTTGATTAATGCAGAGTAAGAGTTATTTCCACGTGTCACTGTCCTCAATATAATATATTGATCTACTTTGTAGTAGTAGTAAGCTAACGAAACGTTAACGAACGTCGGTTAACGAAATTTTCTTAACAAGTTTTTTGGGATTTTTACCATAAAATTTTATGATAAATAATTACTTGTTTCAACTAATCTAAATTTAGAAACCTCTAGCCCTGTGCTCTAGCCTATCCTCGAGAGCCACGACCCGAAAAATAGACTTTCTCCTGTAGAGCACAGGAGACGGTCTATTTTTCCAAAATCCATTTACAATTTGCGAAGCTATTGCGAAGGGTTTGTTAGTTTGTCACACAAAACATACAGGTGCATGAGTGCAGGTGGCCGGAGGCCCTTTTTACTGGAAATGAGGCATTCCATCTTAGTCCTCACGGGTGACAACGCATCTACATTTTGATCTGTAACAGAGTATAGATGTAGATGTCTATGGGCCGCAGCAACCACTTACCATCAGATGGACTGTGTGCTCGTTTGTCACCCTTATCCTATAAAAAAAGGCGAATTGCGAAGTTCCTTCTTTTTTGAAGTCGACTAATAAATTTTTATTTATTGTCTGGCACAGTCTTATTCAATATCTTGACTCAAATTAAAATTATGCCCTAAATGGGGGTACATTTACAAAAAAAATTTGTAGAAAATTCTTCTCTTTCAGCATTTTAAATCAACAACTGAACGTTGAACGAATACTACAACAAATGACGTCTTTGTTTATAGGATAACAGTGATAAACGAGCACACAGTCCACCTGATGGTAAGTGGTTGCTGCGGCCCATAGACATCTACATCTATCCTCGATTACAAATCAAAATGCAGATGCGTTTTCACCCGTGAGGATTAAGGTGGTATGCCTCGTTTTGAGTAAAAACGGTTTCCTGTTTACACTCACTATACGAAATATAGCAGCGTTAAGCTGCAATTTTACGCTGGTATTCTGTGAGAGCGTGGTCCTTCACCGGTCGAGCTGACCCACTCGTGCTACAACTATACCTACTACCAATATAGTTGCAGCACGTAACTATTATTCGGAAGTGGTAATTAGTACTGCAGAGCTGACACGTAATAGTAATGCTGCTTCATCACAATAATATCTGATATTTGAGTTAGGCATGTTCGAATGAATTGTCACTGTGCGGAATCGAATGAAATGTCACTGTGCGGCCGCCAGCAACATTTTTCAAATAAGGAGAGTACACCATAGATAAATAAATATGTAGCAGAGTATACGCTCCTGATTGAAAAAAATGCCGTAAGGTAACTCCATTACAAGAAACATTTAAAAGTTTCCGAATAATGACGGTGCAGCATAATGTTTATACCTGACGTAAAATATACAGACAAGTGACTGAGAGCAGCGTCATAGATGTATATATGTGTGTATAAGAAATGTAAGTATGTTTAAAGTAATATATTTATATTATAGGTATTATATTATATTTTCTGAAAATAAGTTAGTTTTTTTTGTTGCGGCTCTACCCATAGCTTTCACCACACTACAAAAGGTTAGCTGGCAGAGAATCCCTTTTCGGCATTAAGTTCGCCTTTGTACCAAATGTTTGTTTGTTTGAGTGCAATAAAAAATTTTCTATCTATTAATAGATAAGTGATACTGCGATCGTGAATCCACCAACCAAGCATGACAGTTAAGACAAATATTCCCTATAATAGAAGAGGCCCATAGCCAGCAGTTTTACGAACTGATGAAGAAGACTTGTGGCGGAAGCAAATTTGCCGGCCTTATGATTAAAGAGATAGCGTGTTAGCATAGCATGTGCGTAGCCAACATTTATCCGGGACAAGCACAAGGAGGCGCACACCCTACCCTATTCATACACTACATTAAATAGAGTTGGGGACATCAAATTTGCAAGGGGGCCAGTGACAATTTATGGAAGGAGGTGCCACTCATAATTCCAGCTAAGCAACTGCAACTAAATTCGTGGCCGGCCCATCCGTGCGGCAGCTTTTGCTGTCGCACGGATGGGCCGGCTCGAACCGGGGTGGTACCACGACCTCACAGAAAACCAGCGTGAAGTAGAGGTTTAACTCTGCGTTTCGCTTGGTGAGTGCAGGTGGCCGGAGGCCCTTTTTACTGGAAGTGAGGCATTCCATCTTAGTCCTCACGGGTGACAACGCATCTACATTTTGATTTGTAATAGAGTATAGATGTAGATGTCTATGGGCCGCATTAACCACTTACCATCAGGTGGACTGTGTGCTCGTTTGTCACCCTTATCCTATAAAAAAAAAGCTTTTATGATGTTATGGTATCATATTTAGATGGTTACAAACGAACAAAACGACCGTAAATGCCTATAAAAAACGGGGCACAGGGTAATTCAACTGTATACATCTTTTTTAAATGTAGGTATAGTGGCTGCATGATGCAATCACGCATTCTCTGTGTTTAGATTATCAGCTTTAGTTACTAGCTAGATTATCAGCTTAGTACCATCTTGTAGATTGTTTTTTATTAGTATAAGTATTTATCGACATTCTTTCTACATGGAGCCTTGGTCAGAGCTTCAATTTTATATTACGTGAGCAACCTCAGTTTTCGGTCGTTTTCTGCCGACTTCCAAAAAGGAGACGGTACCGAATTCGACTGTATGTTTTTTTATGTGTGGTACCTCATAACGTTTTACTGGGTGAACCGATTGCGATAATTCTTTTTTTTATTTGAAAGCTGGCACTTCTCGTGTGATCCAATATGAATTTAATCAAGGTCAGACCAATAGTTTTTGAGTTATTCTTAATAACTTATATTGAAGTCGGCAGTAGAAAATTTTTAATTTTAAATTATTAATTAATTACTATAAACTTTATTAATTCCTACAAAAATGAAATAACGAAAGAACTGAAAATGAACGTTAGAATTTTCAATTAATTATTATTGAAACATATAAATGTAAGTTACATATTTCAATTTTATTTATTAGTATGTTACTGGCGGAATTATGTTACTACTTATTGAATTTCACGTTAGATGGCACTGTTTCTATAAAGTTAAACGTGGATTGTCGGCGTAATTCAAATTATTACGCAGTACTTAGTTAAAAATAATTTTAGGATTTATTTATATGTCATTTATTAATTACAAAAAAAAACACATCAATAATATGAAATAGAAATTAACATCTTGAGGGAGGGAAATACTTAACCCTCCTTTTTTGAGAGCCTAAAGTTGCATCGGGTCCCTAACTACCTACTTACAAAATTCAGGGAAATCTGTCTAGTAGTTTTTGCGTGAATCGGAAATACACAGACAGACAAAAATTCTAGAAACCACTAATTTGGCTTCAGTGCCCTTTATTTAGTCACCTGGAATTGTTTTTTCCAGAAAATATTAGAACTACTGACACGACTTTTCTACAGATTTATTATATGATTCTATAAATTATTCATTTAAATAATCTGGGCAGTAATTGAAAAATTATAATTAATTTTAGAATACTAGTACGGTAACAAAATCTGCTAACAGGTCAGCAGAAAATTTCTAGCCGCAATGTTGACTGACACCAGTGACATATTAACCTTTGCTCTTATCCTGGTACCTTATTTACATTTGTTTTATGTATGTAATATGCATAAAATATTGTGTTTCAATTGTATATAGGTCTATGAAATATTGAATGAAACATTAACCAATTAAAACATTTTTAAAACTTTCATTTTGTTTTATGATACATTATAATATTATTTAACATGCGTAATAAAGTGTATTTTTTAATCTAAACTAAGTATGTACTTATAAATTATTGTGTGAACTAAACTCACCTTCGACATTTCATCGGAGCCCGTCGTTGTGGCACAGGTGAACTATGTACACTATCAGGGAAAACCAAATTATGTTTCAGAGCTAAAAACTCTGGTGTACTCATCCAATTGGGATTTCCTTCGTCGCACGAGCTCAGTGATAGTGACCTAATGAACCTGTCGCTTGACAGGGAGTCCGGGGTCAAATCAATATTCTCCACGTTCGGATTAGCAATTGTAATGTTAACAGATGTCATTGATTGCGATCTTACGTGGCGTTCGAAGTCAAATATTTGATCCTTCGATTCATCTTTCTCCAGGCGTGTATAAACGTCTTTGTTGGTGTCGGTTGATTTTACAGTTGGCTTCGAGCTGGATGATAGCTCTTCCTGTGTTGTATCGTTTTGGGTGTACGTGTCAGTCGATTTAATGCTTTGTTTATCGAAATTTGAGTTAAGGCTTGTGGTTTCCGAAGAATCCGAAAATGCATTTTCATTATTGAAATCGATTTTAGCGATTTTAATATTAGATTTTTGAATAGGTATATCTTTAGGATTTGTCGGTTTGTTTGTAAAACCGAACTCGTCGCTTGGACTGCCTTCGACAGCTGACGGGCATTTCTTCAGCGTGGAATTTGGTATCCAGTTGAGAAATAACGTGGGCCGTTTTGCGTTGTTGTGCTGGTCAGTAAACACTTTAGTGGTCACTGTAAGGTATCCAGGGTGATGCACAATATCCAACTCGTGTCTCGCAATCGTCGGCGGGTGAACACAAACATTGTTTTTACAAAACAATATTTCATTGTCGACGTAATCAGGGGGATCATCGTTGTCGTCAAATTCTAAACCTAGAAAATAGCTGGACGCTCTCTTTATAATCTCCGGTAGCGGCATTTCGATCACATTTCCTTACTGAATTTAATACGGAGAATGTTATTTGACGTTATCACTCGCGACAACCTCATTAGAGCGACGCTGTATGTGTACTAAGAATGCGCATATAAACACCTACACAATTTGATAACGCGGTATTGATCGCGGAAACGAGAATAGCGCGCGGTACTCGCGTTAATGCAGACCGAGTGACACAGCCAGTAATATTTATCTATGGACGGAACTATTTGACTCGTGCTCAATTTAATTACATTAAACATTGGTGTATGGTCATTAGTAACACACATATATCTATTCTTGATTATGTATCAAAGTGTAGATACATTGTTACTCTTAAGTACTAAGTTAACATGCCTCGTTACCAGTAAAATGTGTCACCAGTTGTCTACACTCACCAAACGAAACACAGCAGCAATAAGCTACTATTTTACACCGGTATTCTTTGAGAGCGTGGTCCTTCCCTGATTGAGCCGACCCATTTGTGCAACCTATAGCTGTAGCGTGGCTCTACCACGTTAAATGTAATACCTAAGTGTAAAAAAAAATAATTAATATCGTACATCTTTTCTAATGAACGACAATCCCTTGTAAGACACTAATATCATTATATTAAATTATTTAAAGTGAAATTATAATTTCCTAACAAGCAAGATATAAGACAAAAAGAGGTAATAGGTGACAAAGTTACCAAGGTAGATCTTATATTCATCAGAGTAAAGGTTGGGGTGCAGGGTAAGGCAGAACGGCCTTAGCTCCCTTCAGCACTTCGACCAGTGATGCTGGACGCTCAGCTGCTCAATTGACATTCATATCGGAATGTCAAACACCACTGTCCCCTCCCCCGTGACCATTGGTGCTATAAAGCACTAGAAACGTCGGGAATTTAAGATAACATTAATTCAAAGCTAAGCCCAAAATTATCTACCGGAATTATAAATAAATAATACTATTCACACCATCTGTGAAATATATTTTATTAAAATGTCTATAGCATCTTTTTAAACCCACTGCTGAGTTTACGCACGATTTGACGCAATATTTGAAACCTTTATATTTATTTTTTTATATTTAAAAGGGAGCTAATAGTGATCATGACCACATCACAGAGTACTTTAGGTATTATACTAAATGATAAAACATACTAGATGAATAGTATGTATCTGAAAGTCAGGTCTTCAATCTACATGGTCGAAGATTCCATGTTGTGATAAAATTCGACGCAACGATGGCAAAACTCTCAGAGAAACAACCCCAACTTTTCAATCGCTATTATTATCATACGCAAGATCTCGCACAGCTCAATGAACCGTTTCAACATAATAAGACCTGCAGTTAGAAACATAGGTCATCCTCTGTACTCGCCAGACCTTACCATTTCCTAACCGCTTACTGTTTTTCCGCTAAAAATTTTGTTCGCAGGAAGCGGTACAAAATGCCTTCGTAGGCCGTAGAGTCCATATACCCAGAGTTTAATCGGGAAGGCTTAAATGATCTTCCCTTGAGATAAATAATGAAAGTAAATATTCGATTAAATAAATATATCGTTGCTTAGGTACTACATTCGAATTTGGTGATAATTGTTGATGAGTATATTCACCTAGGACAAATTATCCGTCGAAATTCGACCGAGAGGCCATTCAACGAATCCAAATCGGTTGGGAAGCGTTCGGGAAATAACGACAAAACTTGAAAATAAGAGGGTACAACTAGTGCGTGTTGCCAGTGATGAACTTTGAAATAATGATATCAGCATTAGAACCTGAGTAACCGACATATCCTAACGGATCAGAAAGCTGAAGTCACAAAATGGCCATAAAGCTAAAAGAAACGACAACCAATGGGTAAAAAGGGTTTTCGAATGGCAGCATCTAGCGGTTAGCAAAGTCTAGGGCGGCCTCCTACTCCTACTAGACGCCCTAGTAAGAGAAACAAGAAGACGATGTATGCAGGTGGCTCAGGACCATGCTTTGTGCCATTCCTTGGAGGAGACCTACGTTCAGCAGTGAGCTTGTGGAGGGCAACGAATAACTATATAGGAGATGAAGGTTTGTATAAAAATACGTAAAATATGCGAACGAAATGAAAATTTGGAGGCACATGATTCAGTATTTTCGAAAACAGTACCCTTAAAAATAAGTATGAAAGATTGTTTGAAATTCTGCAATGTTTTATTATATTTGATAAATGATAACCCTATTATAAGTATTCGAGTAACTTAGTAACATTTATTTAAGGTTTTCTGGATACTTTTATACGTGATAGAGCCATGCTGCAGCTATATTAGTAGTATAGTTGTAGCACGAATGGTGTTCGGCACGGTGTCGACCGGGGAAGGACCACGCTCTCACAGAATACCAGCGTTAAATAGCAGCTTAACACTGCTGTGTTTCGTATGATGGTGAAAAGAATCGGATACTTTTATTACTGGATACGAAGCATCTTAGTTCTCGGGGATGACAAATGACAACGCAGATGAAGATTCTTAATTGAGGATAAATGTAGACGTCTATGGGCCACAGCATCCACTTACCATCAGGTGAACTCTGTGCTTGTTGTCACCGTTATTAAATTAAAAATAAATTTAAAAGAACACATTGAAACTAAAACAAAATGAAATAATAAAGAAAGAGCGGTCTTATAGCTTTCAAGGTACTTTACTTCTACTTAAAATATACAATTAAGTTTTAAAAAAAAATCACAAGATGATAACAGTTGAGGAAAGTAAGATGACTCAAGTAAGGACAGCAATTATGATAGGAAATATGAGAGTTCCATGCTTCCAAGTATTAAGCTTGACTTCGCTCCGAACACATTCCGTGCAACGCTTTCATGATGAAAAAGAAAAAGAAAAAACATGCAACACAATCGAAGACTCTGGGGTAACAACGCATCTACATTTTGATTCTTAATCGAAGATAAATGTAGATGTCTATGGGCCACAGCATCCACTTATCCTCAGGTGGACTGTGTGCTCGTTTGTCACCCCCAATCTATAAAATAGGAAAGCACCCGTCTTCAGTACAATAGGCACTGTGTAAAACACACATCCAGAATGGAGTAGTCACACCGTGGGATGGTTGGCGGTGTGTAACCCCGTCATCGGGAGTAAGTAGAGTTGGGCTCAAAAAGAACCTAAAAGAAAAACGAAAGACGAAAGTTACCAAATAATTCAAAGTCTCATTTTCATTATCTATTAATTTGTTTTGTATCAAAAATAAAGAAAGAGCAACAAGTAAAATACTTGCGGCGCTTACTCTATTATTTATTGAGAATATTATAACAAATTTTATTCTGTACATAAGTGGCGCTTGTAATGGCAAGCTCAGCGCTCCCTCGAACCTTGCGCCCTTACTCCAGTTAGCCTAGTTAGCCTGTGTGTGAATCAGGCCCTGAGCTTTTTATAATGTTTCAAAATAAGAAGGTACATGTTTAGATTATTCTTAATAAAATGAAAAACTCACTTCTTAATTATTTTAATTACACAATCTAACAGATTTATCTAGAAGCAGCTTACTACGTCGCTTGTGACTACGATCGCCATCTCGCGGCGGATAGCTAAATGTAGCATTATTTTAGTCATACAGAAAAAGTACCTAAGTAATGTTACGCTTAGATTTGTGCTACAACTATCAATCTAAATTCCTAATGCGGTTTGTAAGACTTCGTAGTGATAAAGGTACTCTTTGGCAAAGACTAGTTTTTAATGAGGGCATTAAAGACTTTTTCTGCCACTAGGGCAGCGCCACTTTGGACTGATGTGAAATATTTAACAGATTTCATAGCAGGGAAGTTAATTTGTTAGGAACATATAAGGGTTAACGTTTCTTTTTATAATATTAGTTACATTTTATATTAAATATATTAGAAGTTAATAAACCAAACTATTCAAATTCTTAAAAGTAGAAAGATTAAAAAATAAGAGATAAATATGTGCAAAATCATTGAAGAGCAAAACACTGAGGCATTGTTTTGTGTATTAATTTGATACCCTAGGAAATGATAAATTTTTATTTAAAACTAACTCCTCAATTAAATGACATTGTGCAGCAAAACCTTCACCTCAGTCCCAACTAGCGACATCTGGTGTGTGGAGGATTATTAGCCTTCATTAAAGTAATCTGTTGGTCGTGGAAGGCACAGAGTATCTTAGCGGGAGGAAAAAGCTGAGATCTCCTGCTGGGCCCACCATGCCCATAGATTATAAGCATTGCTTATTAAGTCATTCGGGAATTTTAATAGTGTGATTTAGACTTCGCGACTATAAAGCTTGGGCCAAATTGAGACGAATCCCGTGCGGGACACGGGACAAGATTCGCTCGCGCTTATTGCGTCAGCTAACTTGTATGGGGGTGTTCACATTGACGCAAATATTCGCACGTGTTGCAGCGAAATATACGAGTGATAGTGCCTGGTTTCACGAAATTCCGTTGAACCTTAAATTATTTTTACATAAAGTAAAAGAAAACAAGATTCTATACGACCTCAGAATAATCAACCTCAGAAACGAAGACTATAAAAATAATAGGAAAAAAGATAGGGTATGGGAAGTTTTAGCAAGAATCGAACAAAATATGTTTCCGTATATTTTGTTCGATTCTTAATAAAACTTCGTTATAGCATTGGTCCGGCATACAAAAATATATATAAAACCTTTTTTTATCTTTTCGTAATGTGGGTATCAAAGGGTGAATCTCTCCAAATTCTATGCGTACTCAGCTCATGAACCCATTTTCTTTTCTTCCTCACATCTTGAGATTCTTCTTCAGTTAATGCTAATAAAAACAAAACCTGAGCATCAATATCAAAAGACATGTTTTCCTATTGAGACACCAAAACCGATGACGTGCGGGATTCGCTTCAGTTTGGGAGGCTAAGTGAGCGAGCGAATCGCGCAGATTCTCGTCCCGCGCGGAATTCGTCTCTGTTTGGCCGAAGCTTTATAAAGTGCTCTGTGGGCTTCAGCACAGAATAAATAATGTTTATTTAGAATACCTCATTCATAATACACACAAATTGAGAATTTAGTGTGTGTTTTTAGAGGACAGTCCAATATTGCGAAAGATCATTTATGTACGTTCTGCGTAAGCTCGCAATTAAGTTATGAGTAAATAAGAAGAGGTTAAAACAATGTTGAATTTCTTGGGTGGCGCAACAAAAGACGCCAAGATAATATAAGCAAAAGTATATGTGATCTCCATAGCAAACATTCACCAATCTCATGTAGTGTGCTTCCTCATAAAAATGTAAGAGGAGCTTTGACAACGTAAGTTTTGAAAAAGATTTCATTGCAATTATTTAATTAATCTAATAAGACCTAAATAAAATACGTTTTCGTTTTACGTGTTCCGTTATCGTTTATTTTAACATATGATTTCGATTGAACTACTCGATTTACAAGTATGAACTTTTCAATCCTAATAAAATACTCGATCAAACTTAATTCGATTGCTCATTCGATTATTCGTACTTCCGAAGGTAAATAATCCTTGAGTTCGAATTACAGAGTACTTTACATAATATACAAACACCTGAATCCAACAAAGTTTGTATTAAAAGGGTTATTATAATACTAAAGTATATATGGATGATAATAACTCCTGGGAATAAAGTGATCGCTAACAAGCTATTTCTAATTTGTTTTGTGTTGATAAATATCTAACATAAAAGATTGTAAACTGTTCTTTTTTTTTAAATGTGTCATTGGGTTTCTTACTGGTTCTTCCCAGGTCAGAGGTATTTTCGAAACAGTTTTAAATGAAACATATGAGTGAGTTTCAATAATTATTAATAAATATAAATAATTTTAATCTATATTGAATAATAAAGTATTTATGTAGGAGTTGGAGTTTATAGATATAATATAGAGTAGATTATACTATATCTATGCTATTTTCTATTTCTACTGCCCTATTGCCTGAATTCTATGCCCACTATGCCTGAATCACAGAGACAGTATATTACTATTTTTAGACAGTATATTATTATATATTATTATAATATTATGAACATTCGAAATAAAATTCAATTATTTCGATTGATTAAAAACTCGGATCTGTCGAGAGGGAAGAGTGAACTAGCAGGTTTCATCATTTTTTTTAATAGTGAGGGTAATTACAAGCTATGTTGATTTTCAAAACATTCTGCCTATTGCAATTTACATGTAAGTTTAAATGAATAAAACGGAACGTAGAGCTAATTTTTGCATGAAATACCGCACGATGGCGTTTCCGTTGCATAATTAATTGACGCATGCGCCACACATTGCAATCAGCTGTCAGAAAGAACATAATCACGTAAAAAACAAAATTATTTGTGTCTTTAGATAATTCCCGTCAATATGGCGGGGCAAAATCCGGGCTCACCTACTGACTTCCAATATTTTTACGAAGATGAAGTGTATAAAATTAACAATCGCGGCCAAGTTGTATTTGGTCTTGTACTTGAAAACTATGAAGCTAACTCCAGCGATCAGGAAAGCGACATTGAAACACCTATACAAAAAGGCGAAATTCGTGTCGTATGGCATCCTTCGGGAACCGAACGAGTAATATCCGAGAAGTCGGTAAGTAACAATGAAGTACAAATTACATTTGGCTGTTATAGATTAGATTCGGAAATAGTTTTAAAGCGTGTTATTGAAAAACAATAACGCTGTTGGAAATTGTGGTAAAAACTGATCGGTTCACAAAGTATGAATCTGATGAGTTCTCCAAGATTGAACAATAATGAGGGTATAATTATATTGTAGTCTTAGTACCCACCATTGATGATATAATATCATTACATTTGAGTACCTTCTGATCAGTGATGGATTTATAATACGGCACACTAGGCACTGGCCAGGGCATCACCACAGAGAGGGTATTGGTTAAATAAAAGTGTAAAATTTATTAGCTTTAATTCTTGAATGACTTAAAAGTAAACATACAGTCTATAATACATCACACTGCTGGGCGCTGACCTTCTCTAGTTTCTAAGAAGGTTTTAAGGCAAAGAAATGTCCACTGCACTGGCCTAATATGTAAAATGTAAATCTGTAGGTGGGCTTTACATGTTTCCAAATATTTTTTATTTCACAGACTACATATAAGTTTCCTTACAATGTTTTCCATCGCTGCCGAGCATATGGTAAATTAGTACCTAAAATTGCAATTGACAATTTCATTGGTGCCAGTGGGATTGAACTTGGATTGCCTATTTACTGTGAAATTTGTAGATACTTAGTCTTAAGTTAACATAGTTCTTGTTCATGATTTATGTTCACAAAAGTTACTTTTTTATATTATTTTTTGGCTTAATTATAATCCTACGTTCAGATCTTAGTTTTTTAGTCTTATCCCAAATTATTAAAATGCAGAAACAGATAGTTTTTAAGATAATAAATTTTGATTTTTATACTTATGAGAAATGTATGACTTTAAGATTTAAAGCATGCTTGTGGCATTTCAATATGCACTTTTACTATCTATAAACAATCTATACACTTTTTATTTATTTTGTTATTAAATGTTATCTAGCTGACCCACTAGCTTCGCTGGGCTCACAATAACATTTTATTGCAGAACCTATTAGTTTTTTTTTTTATGGGGCTATTGTAAAATCTATTCTTAGTGAGCGTATATATCATGAAATGAGTAACTATGCTAAATTTCAAGTCAATTGGGTGTATAGTTTTACGAGATCTTGTGATGAGAGTTATTTCGCTAAAGTCACATTATTTCCTCTTATTATATTATCTAACTTGCTATAACGTTCTTCTGTTAGCAAATATGTCGACAAATCAAACAAAAATGAAACCACAGTAACAAACGAAAATGCAACAATGTTCTAATTCTTCTATAACTCTTTAATTTCTTGCTCTTTTACACAGCAGGATATTAAGCATTTCTTAGTATCCTACCATGTGGACTAGGAGAACCTAGGGTGAAATAAACAAAAATGGTTTTTTTAAACTACAATGTTCTGCAAAGGGGCATGTAGAAGAAGGGGAACCGGACACCGTTTTTACTGGAAAATAGGCAGTCCATCTTAGTCCTCACGGCTGACAACGCATCTGCATTTTAATTCGCAAACAAAGATAGATGTAGATGTCTATGGGCCACAGCAACCACTTACCATCAGGTGGACTGTGTACTCGTTTGTCACACTTATTCTATAAAAAAAATATACCACCATGAAATAGCAGCTTTATACTTCTGTGTTTCGTATGATGAGTGACAAGGGTCGGAGTCCTGTTTGTGATGATTTTTGAAATATATTATGATTTATGGGCCTCTGCCATAGGATTTCCTGTGGCATAGAAGTTGCCATACTTGACATACACATTATATTATTGTAAGTAATAAAGTTTTCTTGTGTTTAATGTTTACCTTCATCAGTCAAGTTTGGAAAAAAATCATACATTAATTGAGCAAACCTGTTACTGTTCCTTGGCCCTAATGTAAGAGCCATCTCAAATATATCAAAGCTAAAATATTGACACTGTTTGTAAACAAAACTACAGAATCGTGGTGTTTGTTAGAGCACTCAACAGTCTGCTTGCCATTACAGCAAATCCTCACTTTATGTGTTAAAGACTGTTTCCAGCAGTAAACAGCTTTTAATGCTGATGATGGTAATAGTAATGGTAAATTGATTAGCAAAGTTTAAAGAAAATATATTTACAATATGCATATTTAATAAATCCTTATTTTTATTAACATGCATATTGAATTACATAATATTTTTTAAACTCCCTCTCACTTGAGATTTACCCTATAATTTTTATTTTTTCTTGATTTGTCGACTTTGACATGCTGTTATTGCTAACCGCTTGACAGGAAACTCCTCAAATAAAATGTAATGCTTGTTGATATTCTGGGCCATCCATTCATTCATTATGGCCTGTCAAAGTACACTGCAAAACACAGGTTTCTCCCATTTGCCTCATAGGCAGAATATTTGCCATTATGGCATGCTTGGCACCCACCTGGCAGGTGGGTTGGCAACTGCATTTTTTTATTATTATTTAGTTATTTTCAGGAAAATGCTGCAGCCCATCTCCTGTTTCAGTATCCGTCTGTTGCCTCTTATGATACTTGGATTTTAATATGTTGCCACTATATTGCAGTCCATAAATATGTTAAAATTTACTATACTCTAATTTAATGAAGACCTTTGCATAGTAGTATTTTTATATATTAAATATTGTCTATGCCTGGGATTGATTTTGTAATAAAATGTTATATTAATTATTATATACTTTGAATTAAAAAATATGACATTTGATATTTCGATATAGGGATTTCCATAGACCCCCCCCCCCTTCCTTCAATTAAGATTTGGTGTGACTACCAGCCCCTCCCCACATTTTAAGCTCACATAATTAATGGATACCCCTTATCAAAACAATTAAAAAATTTAATGAGGTAATTAAAGGTTATATCCTTTAATTACCTCATTAAATTAAGACACACCAGTTCTGTATGTTAACTTTTTTTAAGGCATAATTTTTATACAGATGGACTTTATATGGACTGTCTTTCTACTATATATATACTATACTTTCATAATCATAACATAACAATGACCAACACAAGGGTTATTGTGAATCAATAAGATAAAATAATTTTAATGCATTTTCATAAAATAGGCAGTACCTGTATTTAAACAGTATTTTTTAAAACCGCATGTTATCAAAATAGGGTTTATAAATGGACAATATTGAAACTATTTTTCAAAATCAGCATGGTTTAAAATTTTCCTTACATACTGAATTACTAAGATATTTTATTTTTTTACTTTTACAATGTTTTAATTTTGTATTAATTATGTATTATGTATATTTAATTTATGTATTGTATACAGGTTGGCCTTGCTGACCGTTCTTTGATGCCTGGCGATGTGGTACGCCGCCTCATAGCTGGCAAGGACACGCAGCGTGGATACTGTCGTGATATAATCATGACTGCAGCACTGCAGATTGTTGGTACCAAACATGTCATTCCTAATGTCGCAAGTGAGAGGCTACAACCACTGGAAGAATTCACACCAGACCTGGCAGTATGCCTAGACTCCTGGGTTGGAACCTCCAAGGTTGGTTTTTATTACTTGTTGTTCTCACTTATAATTATGTAAGAACCTTATTCAGGGCTAATAATCTTCTGTTCACCAGATGTTGGGTAGTTGGGACTGAGGTAAACTTATTTGTCACACGTAATATAGTCACAGTGCCGTCATTATTATAGAAATATTATCTTTTAAATAAAAGTTTGTCAATATTTAGTGTACAAATATACACAAAACAATGCCTCAGTGGGTTGTTCTTTAATTTAATACGCATTTTCAAGTCAAAATTCGTGTAGTTGAATTTTTTACATTATAACTTTTTAATTTTCTGATATCTCGGACTCTACAGCATCATGGGTGTATTTGTTACCTTAAGTATTTTTGAATAAATTTTATGTAGTGTTGCATTATGATTTCATTAATTACATACTTTCAAAAGTCTTAATGCTGAACATAAGCATACCAAATAGATTGCCCCATAAGATAATGAGAATCTTGACGTACACTTACTTACGGCATACGGACATATTGGCAACACTGATTTTTATAATTTTGAGTTGTTATTAGGTAAGAGCTGCTCCCCATCTCTTGTTTTATTTCCCACTGTCATCTTGCGATACCCATGGAATAATATGGAGTAGTGTATTCTCCTATGCCACCACTTCAAGTGCAAATACTGCTATCTTCTATCCGCCTGCCAAATGTGACAATTAAGGCAATTCTTCCATACAGTAGGAGCGGCTCATATTCAGCAGTGAACTTTTAAGAGCTGATGAAGAAAAGATTCTGAATTTTATATAAAACGCTTCCTTCTTCTTTATCTGACTTTCCTTTTATACCATTAATTGCCTTGTGATATCTTATATCAATATATTAAAATATTTAATTTCTTACTTAGGCTGTGCATAGTAAACTACGTCTTGTCTCAGCTGATGGTTCTCGTCTTGAATACCCAGACCTAGACAGTTGTCCTCTTGAAGACTATTCAATGCGACGACGACGGTCAACACCCTATTCGTCATCAGAGTTTTACCCCGGGCAAGTTGTGTATGGGCCATTGGGTTCCTTGGATAGTGCCAATTGGCTTCACGTCACAAAAGAAATGAAAGCCGCCAGAAAACATAAAATGCACGATCATAAGGTCAGTTGTTCATTTTATTTATTGTTAATGTTTTTATATTTTCCTCTATAGAATAAAATTTAGGGCATTGTTTTCAATTTTTCAGTTCACTGTGGAGGCAGTAGTGACAGAGAGTGTAAGTGTGCATTGGCAGTGCCGAGCACTTTGCACTCACCCAACTGACGCGTCAGCCCCACAGCAACCAAAGTTTCTTGTTGAAGGTAATTTATACTTTATTTTGTATAAAATCACTTTGTCTCCATGGCCTTATTAGTACTGCTGAACATAGGCCTCCCCCAAGGAATGCCACACAGCACGGTCCTGAGCCACCTGCATCCATCGACTTCCTGCATCTCTTACCAGGTCTTTACCTCATTTGTGGGGAGCCGTATTACACTTCTTTACTGATACGAGGCTGCCACTCGAGAGCCTTTCTTCCCCATCGGTTGTCGGTTCTTCGAGCTATATGGCCGGCCCATTGCCACTTCAGCTTACTAATCCGTTGGGCTATGTCGGTTACTCTGGTTCTACTGTGGATATCCTCATTTCTAATTTAACATGCAGAGAAACCCCGAACATAGCCCTCTCCATAGCTCGCTGAGCGACCTTGAGCGTCCTCATTCGGTCAGCAGTGAAGAACCATGTTTCAGATCCATAAGTCATCACTGGCAACATGCATTGGTTGTACAATCTCGTTTTGAGGTATACCTGACGAGAAGATGTGTCTATTAACAGTCTATTGCTAGTCAAAGACCATAGTGTCGTAGTTTCCCGAACGCTGCCCATGCTAGCACTAGACTGCTATTAACAGTCTATTGCTAGTCAAAGACAATAGTGTCGTAGTTTCCCGAACGCTGCCCATGCTAGCACTAGACTGCTATTAACAGTCTATTGCTAGTCAAAGACAATAGTGTCGTAGTTTCGCGAACGCTGCCCATGCTAGCACTAGACTGCTATTAACAGTCTATTGCTAGTCAAAGACAATAGTGTCGTAGTTTCCCGAACGCTGCCCGTGCTAGCACTAGACTTCTATTAACAGTCTATTGCTAGTCAAAGACAATAGACTGTTAATGGGCTTCTTGTTCTTACTCTTCTTCTTACTTGCAAATAGATTTTTTTTAAATCAATAGCAATTGATATTCTTAATATGTAGTATGTAATTATAGATCTAAATTTTATATGTGGTTGCAGCACAAATGAGTCAGTTCGATTGGGGAAGGACCACACTCTAGCGTAATGTTCTTGTGTTTCGTATGGTGAGGTAGAGAACTGAAGACCCTTTTTACTGGAAGTGAGGCATTCCATTTTAGTCCTCAGAGGTGACAACGAGATAACAATCAAAATGCAGATGATTCGTAATTGAGCATAAATGTAGAGATGTCTATGGGCCACAGCATCCACACCATTGTGCTTGTCTGTCTATAAAAAGAAGATCAATGGTTATAAACAATTGGCGGAAAGATGGTGGGATAAGAGAAAACCTTTATTATTCTAGTTGTTTCATACTACAGATGAGGAACTAAGGTCTTTTCAACCTATTCTACTTCAGTTAATCGTCACATTTAGCAGGTGAATTGACAATTTTAGCACCAGATGTCTCACACCTTGGTGCCTGTTGCGTGGATATTATACATCTAATGCAAAGATATGGTTAACCACCATTTATCTAAAGTTGTAAGATTTTTTTGCATTTCCAATAATCGTCTCTTACGACATACTTCACGAAATTAGTTTCAGTTTGCTTATACTGCCACCACTAATTTCTCGTAACACTAATTTGTTTTAAAACATGACTTCATAGATAAACATTAATATTAAAATAACATGTTATAAGAAAATTCTTATCCTAATACTTGCATTATAATAAATGTCTTATCTCTAGGTGAAGACTTGAAGAACCTGAAGCTGCTCAATGTTTTTGAACCCTGTACACTGCAGGTCGGCGACAGAAACTTCCTTACTATTGGTCCAGAAGATACTTTTGTCAGTAAAAAGCAGTGGAGGAAACAACAAAGCAAGTATATTCTGCATTAAAAGGTTGCTTTATTGATGCTGATATTAAATATTCGGGCGTGGTTCTGCTGATGGTAAAAAAACAGTGAAGCCATAGGAAATTTTAAGCTGTGCATGTGTGTTTCAATGTATTAAGTAAAATAAATATGGAATAATTTTTTGTTAGATCAATAAGAAGAGGTTAAGCGATTTTAAATAATATATAGCTTCTCAGCCATATATAATTGTTGGTGTGTTTAGTGATTCTATCAACATTGTCTCATAAATATGCTAGGACTCTATAGAAGGTGCTGTAGTCAAAGTATCAACAGATTCTATTATGGAAACAAAACTACTCATATTCTCAATACATTATGTTGGCTAAGTGCCAAAAAAAATCATATAATCTGGATTCCGATAGTAGGCATAGTGGTTGAGTTGAGTAAAATGTCCAGAGTTTGAGTGTGAGTGTAGTGAATTAGGAATGAAACTCATCGCGCCAACTACCTAGCATTTACTAAACAAGTTAGAGTATACTTTGTACAACATCCATCCATTACAGCCTATATAAGCCCACTGCTGATCATAGGCCTCACCAATAGATTGCCTTATTTGGGGATTTTGCCATAGTCTACACTATGACCGCTAGGCCAAGGGGGTTTGCAACCGCACTTTTTTATTATTTTGAGTTGTTATCAGGAAGATGTTGCTGCCATTTTCTGCATTTTAATTTTCCCTCTGTCACTTCGTACAACACTCGGGACGATATGGGGTAATGTGATATTATTACTCCGCCACTACATGGATACTCCGGTTGTATAACAACTTCCTAAATTTTTTCTGTATACTATTTCTAATAACTTTCTAATGTTTCCTATAAAATGCAATATATTAATATTGAAATTGAGATTGTTTTAACCCTTAAATATTGTGTGATTTGTTATGTTCTTGCACAGTGTTTGCTTTGGCTGGGATAATGCATGTAATTGTAACAAAGTATATATATCCTCAGGTAAACACTTCAGGAACCTTCGCAAACAAAGCAGACCAACTAAAAAATCTAAGACGGATGCGAATGCATCAGAACATATGCCTTCAAGACCTAAAAAGCGAGCGTCATCACATCGCAAGCTAAAGTCTACTGATGTAAGTAAATTTGCTTTGCTTATATTTACAATCAAATATTATAAATGCTTCCCCATGTGTACATAAAAAGCACAATTTTATATGTAGAGCCATGTTGCAGCTATATTAGTAGTAATGTAGCACGAATGGGTATGTATGCGCGTAGAATAATGTAGCGTAAAATAGCAGCTTAACACTGCTGTGTTTCGTATGGTGAGTGTAGAGAACCGCAGACCCTTCTTACTGGAAGAGAGGCATTCCATCTTAGTCCTCACGGGTGACAACGCATCTGCATTTTGATTCGCAAACGAGGATAAATGTAGATGTCTATGGGACACAGCAATCACTTACCATCAGGTGGACTGTGTGCTCGTTTGTCGCCCTATCCTATATAAAAAAAAGTAATACCATACATTTTTTTAATACAAAATAGAAGTTACAAATTAACTTACAGACCACCTGATAGAGGTGGTGGATATCTGGACACCATAGCATTGATATAGGACATCTGCAGCCAACTTTATATAAAGTTAAGAAAAAACACAAAGAATGCCTCACAGCCTGTTATTATGTCTCTATACTCACGACCAAGGACAAATAGATAACGAATGCATCTCCAGCATACAGAGAACTTACGCACACGAAATAAAAAACAATTTGCCCTGCTTTTGTTTGTGTGGTGTATGCGGCGCGGGTTACGCACCTATGTTTGTACGTTGAACAGAAATAAGTATCATGTCAACAACGAACAAGTATTTTGCGTTACCTGTATACATATTCTGATGCTTTAAATTCAATATATTGAAAACAAAATGCAATTTTCTATTATTATCTGATTTTGGGGCAATAAGTTATTGATGGTTTCAATTTTAGAATGAAATGGACGTGGATACGATAGATGAGAAGTTGGAGTCCCTTGATGAGGAACTGAAGACTGATGTCAACTGTCCAAGTATTAAAATCGAACCAAGTGCAGATGTTACTATACCCATAGGGAGTAGTCAGGAAGATACCGCAACAGAAGAGAAGAATGATTCTGGCATCAGGTATGTACATATAGTATGAAGAATTGAAATTTGAAGTGCAGTGTTTTTTTGGCTTAAAGTATTACAAGATTTTAAACAACAAATTACTAAGTATATAATTTATTATAATAATTCGTATTGTTTTAAAAGTAAAAAAAAAACATGTGCAGTTTACACGCCGTAGAAGTGAAATCTTCAAATGAAATTATATATAAAACAAAAACATTTCACAGCAAATTATTTATTTAAATTGATAATTTGCAATGTGGCATAAACATAACATAAAAGTTTAATTTTATAGCAAATAAATGTTACAATCCTTGTTTTTAGACAAAGTTTTAAAAGTTATATTAGCCTTTTTTTAAAGCACCGAACAGAGAAGGCCAAGATAATAGGAAACACTATATTGAGCTAGCTGTTCCCAGCGGTATCACCCGTGTATATCACGCTCCGAGCCGCGAACATGACACCTCGCTTATTCTAGTGTTGTATTATTTAAATTTTTCATTATCTCTTAAACTATGCATTCAAATAACATGCTATAAAGAGCAAAGTTTATCCTCATAAAATATGCTTACTATGCCTAATAATAACATTCATATATCACTTTTTAATTTTCAATATTTTTTTGTCACAAAATACCTTATTGTAGCTTATCCACTCAACCGTTCGCCCCGCGCGAGTGACTCTTGCCTGACTTGTCCGCGAATTAAATGTCACTATTTTTCTACGACCGCGCGAGACAGTCTTAAAAAAAAAGATTACTACTGAAAAACTACTATTGCTACATTCAAATTAAAATAAAGCCTGAAAATAAAGCTTAAAAATGGGAATATAAAAAAAATCGTATTTATTTTTTATTTCGAGTTTTACAAGAAAAGTGTAATACTTACTGGAGACAATTATTTTATATTATAATAGTACATGATATTCCCTTTAAAATGGCACCAATATCAATAACATCTTATATACTCAATATACATAAGTATATAATGTTTACCCAATATAAATTTGAATAAATAAGTAGATAAATGAAAAAAATAATCATAATTTCTAGACACATCTCAACAGATATTTCGTTTATAAATTGCTATCAACGTGTTAATAGTGAATCATTATTTTATATTTTGCATTCATTTAAAACAAAAAACTGATTAGAATACATTTTAAATAACATATAATCAATAAACGAAGATCGCGTATAGTGATTAAAATTTGGAGCTAAATATGTAAACGTTTTGGAATTGTAATGATACATATTTACTAAAGAAAATATCATCACAATTAGTTTGATGTACAATAACATTAGAAATAATGTATAAAAACAGAAAAGTTATCAAATTTTTGATCGAATTCCTCACACGGTAACATTCCACAAACAAAAATGGCGAAATTTAATTTTAACTTTTTTTTCCTAAATATTTTGTTACTATTATACAGATTTTTTTTTATAGAATAGGGGGCAAACGAGCATGCGGCTCACCTGATGGTAAGTGACTACCGCCGCCCATGAACAACCGCAACACCAGGGGAATTGCAGATGCGTTGCCGGCCTTTTAGAAAGGTGTAAGCTCTTTTCTTGAAGGTTCCTAAGTCGTATCGGTCCGGAAAATTCGCTGGTGGTAATTGATTCCACAAAGAAGTTGTGCGAGGGAGAAAACTTCTTCTAAATCGCACAGTGGTGGACCGCCAATCATCCAGATGGTATGGATGGTAACGCGAGTTTTGTCGCGATGTACGATAGTGAAATTGAGCGGCTGGAATTAGTCCGAACAATTCCTCAGAGCACTCCCCGTGATAGATGCGATAAAATAAGCAAATTGATGCAACATCTCTACGCAGTGCCAGTGTATCGAGCCGATCGGAAAGAACTCGGTCGTCGACGATTCGAATCGCTCTGCGCTGGATGCGGTCAAGTGGAAGGAGCTGGCACTGGGGTGCCCCGGCCCAGAGATGAGAACAGTATTCCATGTGGGGCCGAACTTGCGCTTTGTAAAGTTGCAAGCGATGTGCCGGCATGAAATACTGTCTCGCTCTGCTGAGCACGCCAAGCTTTTTAGAGGCCAATTTGGCCTTCCCTTCCAAGTGACCACGAAACTGCACGCTGTTCGATATGTCGACGCCAAGGATTCCGATACTGGCTGAGGCAGCAAGGGGAGTGCCTTGAAACTGAGGAGATACGACAAAGGGGTTCTTTTTAGCGGTAAACGCGCAAACTTGTGTCTTCTGGGGATTGAACTGGACTAGATTTAGTCGGCCCCAATCCGAGACTTTGTTAAGCAAAGACTCGACTTCAGACACAAGTTTGTCCCGGTACTCGGCGACGTTTTCCCGAGAAATATTGGCACGGCCGGTATATAAGGCATCCCCAGTGCTGTCGTCTGCATAGCAATGAATGCTACCAGTTAGCAACATATCATTGATATGCAGGAGAAACAGCGCGGTGATAGCACGCAGCCTTGTGGAACACCAGCGTTGATAGGCTTGAAATCAGAGCATGCACCGTCTACTACGACCTTGATGCTCCGATCAGCATGGAAACTGGTGATCCATTTGCACAATTTCTCGGGAAGCCCATAGGAAGGAAGCTTCGAAAGAAGCGCCTTGTGCCAGACCCGATCGAAGGCCTTCGCTATGTCCAAACTAACGGCCAATGCCTCCCCCTTGGACTCTACTGCCTCCGCCCATGTATGAGTTAAGTAAACTAGAAGATCACCTGCTGATCGACCCCGACGAAAACCGTACTGACGGTCACTGATCAGCTGGTGATCCTCAAGGTACCTCATGAGCTGGCAATTAATAATGGACTCCATTATTTTGGAGAACAAGGAGGTGATGGCGATAGGCCTGTAGTTGGACGGGTCTGAGCGGTCGCCTTTTTTAGGGATCGGGTGGACCAAAGCTGTCTTCCATGAATTCGGGACTACGCCTTGGGAGTAGGAGTACCGGAAAAGACGCGTTAAAACCGGTGCCAACTCCGGAGTACATGTCTTCAGCACAATGGAAGGGACTCCATCGGGCCCACTCGACTTGTTGACGTCCAGGGAGAAGAGTGCTTTGCGAACCGAGCGCTGTGTAAATCGCACATCCGGCATGGAGCACTCACATCGCGGGATAAAATTCACATTCACAGACGACAAATTTCATATATCACCTCTATAATTTTTTACTGTAGTATCAATAACAGCTATCTTTTGCGCTGTATGCGTTTAAACTCGTTTGGTGCCTAGACACGTGAGGCAATAATGGTTTTTGGGGACTGTAGTTATCGTGGACGGTTGAGTGGTTATGTATAAGAAGTAGGACTATGGTATCGCGGACTTGTTTTAGATGGAGGAAAGATTTATATTTTTGCAGAACATAGTATTTACGTATTATTAACCATTACGCCAGCGCACTAAGCCAATTAAGCAGTTCGGGAGCGCTTATTCTTCCGACTTGCTTAGCAAAAATCAATATTTAAGGCTAGCTGAGAGGTTTAGCCTAATGCAGGGTAGCCTACACTATTTCTCATGAATCTGGCTATCATATACTAAAATAATTTATTAAATCGGACTGGTAGTTTCAGAGAATAGCCAGTTTAAACAAACAAAACACCTCTTTCGTTTTATTATATTAAAGTATAGATTCTGTCTCATTCTCTCCTATAGATTTATATATTTGTCTCTTTTTAGTGTCGCTTTTTCATGTCATTTGTTTCAAATCACAACGATGCTAAAGAAGTTTTTACTTCAAAAATACATGCTAGTGGCTCCACCTTCCGATCATCAATACTTTTCACCCAAGGCAAAACGAGACTGAATTTAAGAGGTGCACTAGAAGCCAATGAATTGCTTCATTCGTTAAATTCAGTATGAACCAGCATAACACTACACCAAAGACGAGCGGTGCCTTGGAATATTTTGGATTGTGTAGAGGTGCTTAGGATTGCCCATATGCAATGCGTTACGAGGCTCATAGTGTGCACGAACCTTTAAGAGTATCTTTTTGAACCAAAAAGACGTATAAAATATTAGTGAATTATGGTAAATTTTATTCTGCAGGTACAAATGTTTTATGTTGTATTATTTATTTTTCATTTTTGTCAATCACAGCCAAACTACTCCTAACATGTGTATGAAATTATTAATTTTTAGAAAATACTTCATTTTTGTTTAAATTATCTTTTCTTTTTGTTTTTTTGTTTGTCTTACTTTCTTAAAAATAACATATATTTTCCTACCATGGTACTTAACATTATGACCTCTTAATGCTTTCTTTAAATGGAAATACTAATATAATTTCTTTTCCCTAAATTTAATGAAATTTAGTATTTATTCAAAATTATGTAAATAAATAGTAAATCAAATGCAGTAAATCATTAAAATGCATATATTGTAAGCTGCTTAGCTTGAAATTTTGCCTGTAGTGCAATAATGAATTTTGGTTATGATGGAGTGGGCTAAGCAAATCCCACATCTGCAGCCCCGAACCTGCCAAAGAGGACAGCCACCTGCTCAACGGAGACAGCAAGTCTGCTGACGCGTGTCTCAACGACGATGACTCTGACAATTGGGAAAACACTAGTAGCGACGGCAGTGATACTGATAGGCAAGTACAGTTTTATTCTTAGTAAAAATGAAGTATGTTAAGTATTGTTTGGATAATTTTCTAGGTGGTAGGACTGCTTTTTTGCCTAGAAGGTCTAGGTAGGTACCAAACTACAAACCAAACAGAGAACCAGTATAATTAAACGCTGTGAGGCATTCTATCTTAGTTCTCAGAGGTAACAACGCGTCTGTAGCCGTCTTGTTTAATTTGGCTGGAGGTGTCTATGGACTGCAGTATTTAAAATATTGTACGGTTTTTATTGAAAATGTGAATAAATAAAATTACTTATTGCTTTAATTTCAGTATGCAAGTTATTGCATACTGAAATTAAAGCATAGTGCATATAGTGTTTTTTTTTTTCTTTGGATTGGATCGGAGCACTAGTTGCGCCGTTTCTACTAATAGTTGATATGTGCAGACAATACACAAATTCGCTTCGTTTTTGTCTATCCAACGTCCACTTTTAACCATTTTTTAAACGATAAAACACTAGCAACAATCCCTCGACGGTTAAATCCCGCCAAAACTCCACAAAAATGTTTTAAAATAATGAAATGTTGCAGCGGAGCGACGTGGTCGTCGCGGTGCTCGTCGGCGGCGTCGCAGCGTGGCAAGCGGTCGCCGCAGCTGGCGGTGCGGCTGCTGCGCGGCAAGCGCCTCAAGCGCACCGTGCGCCGCGCGCCGCCCGCGCCGCCGCCGCGCGCCGGCGACCGCGTCGTCGTCGAGACGCTGCACACCTGCAGCCGCGCCAACGTCGTGTGGCAGGTGAGCGCACGCACGCAGCACACCTGCAGCCGCGCCAACGTCGTGTGGCAGGTGAGCGCACGCACGCAGCACACCTGCAGCCGCGCCAACGTCGTGTGGCAGGTGAGCGCACGCACGCAGCACACCTGCAGCCGCGCCAACGTCGTGTGGCAGGTGAGCGCACGCACGCAGCACACCTGCAGCCGCGCCAACGTCGTGTGGCAGGTGAGCGCACGCACGCAGCACACCTGCAGCCGCGCCAACGTCGTGTGGCAGGTGAGCGCACGCACGCAGCACACCTGCAGCCGCGCCAACGTCGTGTGGCAGGTGAGCGCACGCACGCAGCACACCTGCAGCCGCGCCAACGTCGTGTGGCAGGTGAGCGCACGCACGCAGCACACCTGCAGCCGCGCCAACGTCGTGTGGCAGGTGAGCGCACGCACGCAGCACACCTGCAGCCGCGCCAACGTCGTGTGGCAGGTGAGCGCACGCACGCAGCACACCTGCAGCCGCGCCAACGTCGTGTGGCAGGTGAGCGCACGCACGCAGCACACCTGCAGCCGCGCCAACGTCGTGTGGCAGGTGAGCGCACGCACGCAGCACACCTGCAGCCGCGCCAACGTCGTGTGGCAGGTGAGCGCACGCACGCAGCACACCTGCAGCCGCGCCAACGTCGTGTGGCAGGTGAGCGCACGCACGC